AATTTTGCTCTTCTTCGTCGTGCTCGACGGTAGGGTACGAGTTTGTGGCGACGAGGGCCTTTTGCAGCCTGATACGAATATTGAGGAGGCCGTCAAAGGTCTTGCGCTGCTCGCGGACGGCGAGACCCTTTTGGGCGTCCTGCTGCGCGGCGGCGGAGATGGAGGCGGCGAGGACCTTTGAGCCTTCGTTCATGAGCCTGCGCTGCTCGGCTCTGGCGTCGGCTTTGGAGGACTTGCCGCGAGGCTTGTCGTCTTCGTCTTCGTCGTCGTCGGAAGCCTCCTCGGAATCTTCCTCAGATTCTTCGTCTGAGCCCAATTCATCTTCCTCGTCCTCGTCTGACCCTTCCAATCCGTCCGTCAGGCCTTCGTTGTCATCAGAGCCGTCCATCTCGTCGTCCTCGTCATCTAATGCAGCACCCTCGCCGTCCTCGTCGTCATCCTCTTCTTCCTCGTCAGAGATGAAGTCAGCAGCGGTGGGTCTCTTGCTTCGGCCTCCCTTCTTATCCTTGGGCTGCGAACTGCCGCGGAAAGCAAAGGCCTCAAGTTTCTCATCGTCGCTCTCGCCAAGTGCGTCGTCGCTCGAGATCTCGACGTCTTCATCTCCGGCAGCTGCTGTGTCGGCAGCCAAGTCGGCGGCGTCCGGGTCGTCGTACTCCTCGCCATTAGAGTCCAGGTCCTCCTGCGCATCCTCAAACATCTCATCGTCGTCGCTCGAGTCGTTCAGTGCATCGCGGCTGACGCGAGCGCCGCGGTATTTCGGACCTAGCGAGACACCCTCCTTTCCCCGGAGTTTGCTCTTGCTGCAATGCGAAGTTAGTTAGTCCCCAAGCTATTTATAGTTGTGTTCTCTTTGACGTGTATCGTACCCGACTGCGACATAGTGCTCGGTGCCGGCATTCTCATCTGCGCTTTCTTCACTGCCGCTCTCTCTTTCGCTCTCATCGACCTGCTCAGCCTCAGGATCGAGATCTAGAAAAATGTTAGAGTCAGTACTGCAATGAGGTTCTTAGTAAATTTTCGTATACCCTTTGCTGGCTTGTCTTCCCAGTCGGATGTTCTTCTACGCGCCGACATTGTGTATGTGGTTTACGGCTTGTATGTAACTCACAGAGGGGCCCGCTGCGCAATGCTGGGTGAATTTTCTGGGCTTCAAGAAACTTTTTGGTGGTGAGGTGCGGCAGAACCAAGAACCCCACCACGGAAGTTTGGTGTATTATGTAAGCTCAGCTCGTTGACCCCTGTACACCTATAGTGAGTTGCTATTAGAAGTGGTGTCGGCCTGTTCGGTAATACTCTAGGACATGCTTTCGAGTCAATGGCACTCAACCTTGAGAGAATAAAATATCTCAAGTCAATGAGTATCGATTTTGGGACTTAAAAAACGTCTAATAGACCTTGGCCTTGGAACTTTCGACTTTTAGAGCTGGAATCTCCAGGTCTGGGACAACCTGCAAGACGTATCGGGGTTGGAAATGATTCCGTGTCTACCTACCTATTAGCTGAGTGGAAGCCTGCCCTCCAATACCGGCACTCGGACAAGCACAAGGCAGCTTTATCTTCTAGCTGCGGATCTGAGAGTCAATACCACGCCCTTTAGCGGTTCAGCCTCGGTTGACAGCCTGGGCAATGGGCGCAATGCCGTCATTCGAAATGAAAGCCTCGATAGGGCGGCCAATCATTCAAGGATCGCATCACGTAAAAGTGGAATTTATGAAGATAAGGCGTGACCGGGCGCCCAGCCGGTCACGTGAAGGTCAGCGGGATTAGCTGAGAGCAGGAAAGCCCCGATACCCGAAAAAAGAAGTGAGGCTAAGGGGGGGGGACAGTGAGGTACCCAAGTACCTGCCTGTACAAACAGGGGAGAAAATCGCCATTACTCGTCTGCTCCCCATCGCTCAACAGTCGCTCACGATCGAACGCGAGAAACAAACAAAAACAGGTCCGCCGGGGGCCTCGCCATGCGCAATGGAGCAGATTGATGCGCAGGTCAGCGACTTGCGCTACTTGACCCAAGCAGCCGTCCCTTTGCCGCCTGACCGCGCTGCCACTGCCGCCGCTTATTCTCCACACAATCACTCTGTCCATTCCCCCCTTTCCGCGACCCCCGGAGACAATTCCGCACAACAACCAGGGGCCTCCAGAGGTGCAACTCAAGTTGGAACGCCTGGCTCAAGCTCCGTAACTGGTTCCAAGAGGAAGTCAGAGGATGAGAGCAATGCTGCCAAGCAGCAGAGAAGCAAGAGGAATCGGGTGCGTAGTCTTTGCCGTTGTTATACGTCCTTCAGTCTTTGCTATTACCTTAGCTACCCATCACCTCCTCGTCCTTGTCATACTTATCCTGTGAACATCCTTTCCGCTGTGTGCCATGTCATTGATAAACTTTGTGGAACTCCAGAAAGCTAATTGCCGCTGTAACAGTACATATCCATTGCCTGGTAAGGATACCTCCGTCCCGGTCATGTCATTGGCATGCGTCCAGCCGAATACCATTGCGACTCCTTCTCTTCGTAGTTGGAGAACCATGGCCCAACTGTCTATCTTCACAATTCGCTGGCTGCCATAAGCTTCTCCGAGTCTCCAAGCTCATCTGGGGAAAAAAGACAAGATCACTGACTCGGCCCATGCTCTTCCAAACAGTAACGAATGCAAAAGACGCAAAATCAAATGCAATGGCGAAACTCCCTGCCAACGATGTGGCAATCTCAACCTGCAGTGCCTCTATGCCCCGAACTGCTGTTCCAACAGCTTCAAGGACTCGGACGAGTACAAGACCATGACGGAGCAAATGGCCCGCTTGCAAGAGCAGGTCGATAACCTTTATCAGAATATGAATAATCTCCGTTCCGAAACCCTGCGTCTGGCGCCCATCCAGGACAAAGTATTACATTTCCCCTCAAGCACAGTTCAGGCCTCCCCGGCGAGCTCGCTGTCTCCCCTCCACCGGCCTGAGTTGACCCAAACGAAGCAGGCAACTTTCCGTGGCCCCACCAGTATGGCTTACAGTCTGGACATCGCCAATACTACCATTCACAACATGGGCTACAAGGGCATTGGAGAGGACGAACAAGGCACGCCGCTGGGTGTACCCGAGGACAGTCCTTTCCGAATGCCTCCTCAAGAAAGCCAAATCGATCCCTTGTGGGACTTTGGCAAGGACGAAATGATTCGATTGTGTCGACTACATGACGAAGAGGTCGGCATCATGTATCCCGTCATCAAGATACCGTCAGTCATTGAGCATGTCCGTCACCTGACGGCTTACATGGAATCAGCCCGAAAGCAGGGCATCACACCAAATCTCAATGACGACAAGACATTGCAGCTCAAGATCGTTATGAGCTGCGCTCTTGTGGTGGAAGAGCACGGGCACAGCGAGAAAGCGTGCAAGCTGATTGACAGCATGGATGTCGTCCTCAACCGGAAGCTCATGGTCGAGGCGGTCGACTTCGTGAGTCTGCCAGCCCTATGCCTTCTCGCGGGCTACAGATTCCTGGCCAACGAGGAAATCCTGGCATGGCGCGTCATGGGCCAAGTCACTAGGCTGTGCTTGGAGATGGGCATCCACAGGACAACCGGCATCGCGAAAATCAAAAACGAAGAGGATAGAAAAAACGCTTTGAACAGTTTCTGGTCGGCCTACGTTCTGGACCGGCGGTGGGCCTTTAACACTGGCCTGCCGTTCGTCGTTCCGGATGAAGAGATTGATCCAGAACTCCCCATGCCTGTGAGTCACCCTGCGTCAGCATGAAATATCTAGGCGTGTCCTTTCTCACAGCCACATAGGAAGAGTATCCGTACTTGGTTGCTATGATCAGCTATTCAAGGCTGGGAGCCAAGGTCTGGCGTCAAGTCACGGATTTTGGCCCTGTCCTAGCCCGTGAGCTCCGTCATGAAGACATGGAGCAGTTAGACCAAGAGATCCTTCAATGGTACGAAAACGTACCAGAAGAGGTCAAACTACGCAACTGGGACAAGGAGAAGCAGATGACCTCGACTCCATCGTATAACCTTCAACGCCTGCGCATTTGGACATATCTGCGGTTCAACCAGGTTAGTATTTGCTGTATCGGAGATTGCGTGCGTGGCTTTCATGCTGACTTATCTGCAGATTCGCATCTGGCTGTATACACCAATCCTGCATAGCGCAACTAGCATCATGGGCCACTTTGCCCAAGCTCAGCGTGTAGTCGACCTCGCGAAAGACACGATCCGCTATCTAAGCCATCTCAACAACACCACGAATCTGTATCGTAAGATTCAAGTATTCTACCACCAGTTCCTGACATCGGCAATCTCTGTTCTCTTCCTGGCTTCTGTCCATGCACCAGTGAGGTTCAGCTCCACATGTCGAGAAGAGTTCTACATGGCCCTGGAGCTTGTCAAGGATCTTTCCGCCAAAAGTTGGGTGTCACAGCGGCTGTGGCGTACAATCAGTTCGCTCAAAGAAGTTGCACCAAGCATTGGTCTTCGCAACTTGCCAGATGAAGATGCACACAGCTCCGCGGCTCTTACGATGGCTGGACTCGCGAGTGGCGGACGCATGCCAAACAGCCCGGCCGGGATTGCGCCTTTCGGACGCTCATCCACAACCCCAACGATACCCCAACAACAAACACCAAACTTGGATACGGCCCAGTCGCCAAATAACGGAGTTCGCATTCAAAACGAGATGAGCCGCATTTTCGAGGGATACCTGGGGCTCAACGGCTTCGCATCTAATGGGGACGATGGTTTTGGTGGCCAGTCCGACGCCAGCATGCCGACAACTACTGCTGTATCGAACCCATATGTTGACAACGTCTTCAATCACTTTAGGGAAATGTTCTAGTGTTTGTTGAGCAGCTGCTTTACACCTCTAATTTGGAGGATCTGTTCACTTCATGTATCTAGCGGAGATTCAGCGCCTGCTTCCACATCTACGCTGTACATATTGCATTGCACCAATATCAGCTCAATCCTCAAACTGTCGTTCCCTCAATCCTTTTGGCTAACCGAAGCTATTACAAGCCGAACCACTTCAGATCCTGATCCTCCTGAACCGGAACAGTGTGCCCGACACCTTGCGCAGAGTATCCCACGAGCTTAGTTCCGTCTCCATAGATCATTTGCGTGTAACCACTGATGGGCGTATTGGTGTTATTTTTCGCAAAGCTCACACCGTGGATGGTGGACCACTCCTTAAGCTGCTCAGCCAAGTTGGGATACTTGACAAGCGAGTCCGCCGTGCCATGGAACGTCTGCACGCGGGGGTAGCTCCCATTGTAGCCGGGATACATGGCGCGCACCTGCGCGGCCCACTGCTCGCCCGTCTTCACGACCAGGCCGTTGGCACACGTGGGATCGGCGCTGATGGGGCTCGAGCCGGGCGAGCCCGCGAGACAGCCCGCCGCGACGCCCGAGTAGCACGAGGTGGCGGCGAAGAGGTCCGGGTACGTGGCCGTCAGCACGTTGGTCATCATGCAGCCCGACGAGCTGCCCGTGACGAAGACGCGCTTGGGGTCGGCGCCGTACTGGCTGATGGTGTAGCGGACCATGTTGGCCAGGCCGGTGGAGTCGCCGCCGCCGTCGCGGGTCAGGCTGGCGGTAGTGGCGACGTCCCAGCAGTTGAAGTCGCGGGAGGACGACGGGTAGATCACGACAAAGGTGCCCTTTGCGTCGGAGAGGGGGATGTACTCTGCTTGCCGGCTGTAGGCTGCGCCGGAGCCCCCGCAGCCGTGGAGGGCGAGGACGATGGCGGGGGAGGCGGCGAGGTTTGGGGGCACGGAGATGTCCATTGTCAGACCTGTTGGGTTGGAGCCAAAGTTTGTGACGCGTTGGAGGGCTGCGTTGGCTTGGGTTGCCAGCGGGAGGGCGGCGACGAAGAGGGTGAGGGGATGCATATTTGGCGCGGTTTTCGTGAGTGGTGATTTGCGGATCTTGTTGTTGCGAAGTCAATTTTTAGATGGAGATGCTGAGATCAGATGGAAAGTCTATCGACAATGAGCTTGTTTATATACAGGGAGTTTGGATCCTCGAGACCGACCATCAGAAGTCAGAGATGTTCTTTCAACAGCCGTTGTGACTTGCCTAAAGTCCAGGGCCTCGGCTCAATGCAGAAGACCAAACGCAAGGTAAGCACCTCCTTGGTATAGTATCGTCACATCAAAGAGACCAGCAAAGAGCTCCCACGTAACACTTGTCAAGAGGGGAAAGTAAGTCGGGACTCGGGGCCGTGGATATCGAAAAGGCAAGTTCGAAGCTATAAAAGGGGAAGGTTGCGATTTGCTGGGTGGATGTTGGTTGGCAAATTACCCCTGAAAATCCAAGAGTCTGAAAATGCCCATACCTACCTTACTTAGCTTCGGCAACGATGGCCGGTAGTTTGGGTTGCGTATCTTGGCTCTTGTCCTATATATATTGCGGATTTGTTTGGGTTTCCTGTGGGATAAATAGGAGATTGGTGGCCAATCTAGGCGGAACCAGAAAAAGAAGGTGTTGTCTGTGTCTCGTTTTGGAGAAGGACCGTAGCCAAGTGAGGACGATCCTCGGTTCGCATAACCCCGCGCGGGCAGGGGTACCTCGGTACGCGTATTAGATTGAGGTGGTATTCCGATTTTAACTTAGTGACGGACAAGACTGCTGTGGGAGAGCTACGAAAAAGCAAAGATGGAAGCGAATGAGTTACAGCACGGGCATGTCGCGCGAAAGGTTCGTCGCAAGTAGTCCGATCGGCCCCGCCTCCCCGGGCCCGGATATCGGTGAGAAGTGGGGATGCTTTTTGGAAGACTTGCGCTGTCTACTGCCTTGTCTCTGTCGATCCATGAGACTCCATTCTAGGGCCTTGTCATACTCACGAAGCTAGAGGGGATCGGTTGATACCTTTTCAGTCCTTTAGGTCCTGCAAAGTCTTTGGTGAAGTCCAATCTTTGCAGAATCCTTGAGGCAACCTTACAGCAAGGTACATCACACTGAAGGTCTCTACCATGTGACGGAGAAGGGTCTTATGAAGGAGTTCCTTCTAATGGTTTCAAACAAGGTTTTTTAGACTTTGTATAACGAGTATCAAGCACGTGAAGCCCAGCGGTCGTGAGAACTTTCTCCGTTAGCATTGTCGGAAGTCGTGGTTAGTTGGTATCTCCGAAGCCTGCAGAAAAGGATACACAATGGCCCAACTTATCTACAGATCAAATATTCAAACAAAAATCTCATACCTCCTTCGCATCACAACTTAGAACTTCCTTCTAGAATTCTAGCTTCTATATACGATTCTAACATCCACACTCGCCAGCTTCTTTCATATATTCATCAGGGTTACTACAGTCAGCAACGACAACCACTAATAACTACTAATAACCTCCCAATTAACTACTTCGAGAAAACCTACGAGGTACATCATCACTATGCAGACCGGCTTAGCAGTCACAATCGCCGTGCTCAGCACGTTAGTAGGGAGTGGCATACTCTACGGCGTATACAAATGCGTCGTCATACAAAAGAGCCCCGATCCGAACCCCGAGAATCCTCCTCCGCCGGCATACTGCATGTATCAGATGCCGCCGGTTCAATATCAAGCGCCAGCCCCAGCCTATCAGCCGCCTCCTGTCCAGTACCAGCCGCAGATTCAGTACCAGCCGCAGGCTCAGGCGGGCTTGGTACCGGCTGCCTTGGCAGCACTGGGGGCTCTGTGGCCTCAACCTCCGCCTGCTGCCGCACAACGTCAATTGTGGTGATCTCATCTCCCGTCTCCTGTTTCCCATCTCCCCCGACATATCACATCGATAATATGACTAGATGGAAGAGGGTTGGTGTGGCATACCGACCTTTCACTCTAAACCGCATCGACACGACAAGGTGCATTCAAATTCCCAAGTCAATAAGGATTATTGAGCCGGCTGCCACGACTCGAATACTTTCTAAGGTGAGTGAGATGGAGGAAGGCGATGACAGCTGCCGCCAAAACTTCGTCACATAAATTAACAACTTATATGGCAGGAATCGGCCTCACCAAGTACCGACGTCTACCTGCATAGGAGTCTGCCTCAATGTCAGAAATCAAATCGTACATATGTATCTGTTGTACGTGGGACGGACATAGCCGTTCGAGAGGGCGCACCATGGATAGAGAATGGGGGCCGAACATGCGGCTCGCCAGCTTGTCTTGCACGCTCATAGGTGCAGAATAAGGCAGACGATGCAGCGGCAAGGATTCAAGCGCGACCCATCAGACTCAGATGCCGGGCTGACAAGTGGCGGGCGATGGGTGCATCATGCAGCCCAGATTCCAAGGGATGGTGTCGCGTGTGGGCACTTTCGCTGTGATTTGCGTGCCACGCGTGCCAATGCATGGCTCAGATAGGCAACTCAAGTGATGGCAGCCAATGGGTGGCTTTCTTATGTCAGATTCACACTAACAAGGTAGCGGAATAGTTGAATGCTGAACAGTAAGAGCATGTGATTGCAAGACAGCCTCAATGTTACTATTCCAAGTCAAGTGAGGAATTATTTGCTTCTTCTGACAGCCCGTCGTCAGCCTCCTCTGCTAGTGCCAAGGGGCGGGCGGGACTGTGCATCCGAAACACAGAGAGGGCAGGCGCGCACGCAGGTAGGCAGGAGGTACAAAAAGGCAAGCGAATGTCCCAAATTCTCGTCAACCGCGAAGTAATCCAAACCCTTCAACATTCCAAACCTAAACCTGGTGAGCTGTGTACGTCATCGTAGACTGCGTCACGTCCGTCCCTCCCCTCGCCATGGCGGCCTCAACGACATCGTCGCACTTCGTCAACGTCTATCAGTCAGTCGACAAAACTAAACGTCCCGTTACCATATCTCTGGCAGTCGCGAGCTCGGCGCCCTCACTATCTGGCGATACGGAGGAAATTAAGGCTACGCTACCCGAATACTACACTGCACCGCCATGGCGTCTTCTCTGGGATGATTTGGTGCTCTTCATTAGATGCATCGGTTTCATCCCCTTCGTCATCTCTCCTCTATGGTACCCTCGGCGAGAGGGGGTCCGATACCCAAAGCTCGACAAGTCATGGGTGCCGAGATGGCTCCTATGGGGCCCCATCGATAGCGCCATCTCGGCCATTCAAACCTGGTATCAAGGCAAAGTCGACCCCTACTATCCCTCCGGCGAGATGGATGAGCTCTATCCTTCGGTCGGAAACCTTTGGTGTCTCTTCATACACGGCATCCTCATCGTGACGCAACTCGCTTTCTTAATTTCGCTGCCGTTTCTTGCGACCCTTCCCTTTCAGCTCTTCGTCCTTTACATCGGCGGATTCATCTTCGTCAACTATATCTTCTGCTTACAGCTCAACGCCGGAACCGAGAACAACTTGCTCAAATCCCAGCATGCTCTGTGGCCGGAGGCGGCTAACTGGAAATCGCTGGACCCCGAAGAGAACTACAGCGAAGAATGGATTTTTCTCAACGGCGTGTCCGTTGGGTAAGTGCACATTGATCACATTGTGTCTCATGGACATACTTCTGACGGGAGGCTAGCTCGCATTGGCTGCAGGGGAACATCAACAGACTATCACGCACTTTTCAGCGGCCCATCACGGGTGTCCATAACAGAACGTACGTTGCACCAACTTCTGAATTTAGGTGCATCGTTCGTTAAACCATAATGTTGCAGGTCTGGAATCATCTTCGACCTTATCCAGTGTCTCTTAGAACGATGCTTCTACTTTGGTACCTCGGACACCAGAACTTGCTATGCGCTCATCACAGCTGCCCTGGATCCTGCACAGAAGAAAGACAAAACCGTTCTCATCCTTCACTCCCAAGGCGGCCTTGAGGGCAGCATCATCCTTGATTGGCTCCTCTCCAACTACCGCCGAGAGACCTTGCATAAGCTGGAGATCTACACTTTCGGTAACGCCGCCAACCACTTCAACGATCCCGAAACCTCTCAAAACGAACACGTTTTCGGGCACATCGAGCATTATGGCAACACTGGTGATTTTGTATCCCAATGGGGAGTCATTCATTTCAAGTCTCTAGTTGCCGAGCAAAGCAACCCTCAGCCAATGGATGGAAGACACCCCTTCTTGCCCATCGTTGACGACATCTTACGCCTGGATAAGAGACAGAACACCTTTGCTGGACTACTTTTCGAGAACAACGTGTTGGGTCACCTGTTGAACCAGCATTATCTCGACCGACTCTTTCCCTTGAATGAAACCCTGACTCGCGTCGTGGAGAGCAAGGGAAAGCCTCTGATGGAAACCTTCATGGCTAGGCCTATGAGAGCTGGAAACGGCACTTGCGACGTCGAAGGGCACAAGGTTTGTCAAAAAAGCAGACTATGGGAGTACATCAACGGTAAAAAGCCAAAGGATTATGATTTGCAGCAGTCATAGGCACAGCGAAGGGAATTTGATGAGCTTGCGGGAGTCAAATCGGTATTGTGGTAAAATGGGGAAATTTTGGGATGAGTCTACTTCTCTATGCCATGTAGATGGCGAGAGTCCGGAAACACGGGGTGTAATGGGTAACATGGGTAAACAAGATTATTTGACTAAAGGTATTTTACAGTATTCATAACAGGTATTGAATACTCCAAGATAGGAGGCCAAGATAGGAGGCTTCTACTGGTTATCTTGTATGGTAGCTGTTGCATAATTGTCTGGCGCTTTAACCCACATGGCTTGGGAGTTAAAGTTGTACAGGAGGACAAAGCCGACTGAAATTAAGGGAATAAGAGAAGGAGAGTAGAATCCTTGGATCCCAAAATGATCGAAGTCTGTAACAAAAGGCTGCCTTAAAGACTCTTCTGCGTCCCTCCCGCGAGATCGGTATGAGCGAGACCCCTTAATCCCGAGAAACAATTTCGGATCCTATTTTTGAAAGACTCGACACGAACTTCTGCTGCATGAGTGTCGTAGATTTGAAACACAACAATAGATTTGGTAACTTCTATATACTTCATCCTAAAGAGATGCATCAGTCCTACCTTGTAACTCAGATACGGTAGGCCGGCCCGGCTAAGCCGGCTGTAACGATGACTCCCACACCGCAACCAGTAATCCCAGGCAGCAACGACCTAAAGACCAAGACTTTTGACTGATCGAAGAAAACATTGTTCTCAACTACTAGAACTTGAAACCTTCACAAGCTCGTGGTTACGTTTGGAAAATAATTGCCACCAATGGAAGGAGAAAGGACTGCGGAAAACACAATTGCTCATGATCCAGCCAACGACGACCGTGGCTTTCGCAAGGGGGGTAGACCCCCGTACAACACATAAACTGCCGTGTCCATTCCAAAGCTTGCCTTTTGACATTCACTATTTAATTGCCGCTTACCTGGACTACGCGGAAATTCTCAAACTCTCAGCGACCAACCACTTCCTCCACGACCACCTCAATGTCCAGACCCTTATACCAAAACATCGACGGAACCAATTCCTCTACAAGACGGAGCGCTACGGCTATCGCTATGGACTCCGAGGGTTCGGAGGGCGGTGGCCGTGCTACGAATGCGGCCGCATCCTAGAGAAGGATTACTTCGGCGACCGAATGAGGAGATTTGAAAAGTCGTGGTTCCGGAAGTCGTTGATGATGAGGCGGTGCTGGGAGTGCGCTGTTCGCGAGAGGTGGTATGGGCACTTACAGCCGACCAAGAAGCAGGGAGAGGTTTTTCGTCTTTGTTGGCGGTGTGGGAGATTGTGGAATGATAAGGAGGAGGAGAGGTGCCGGAAGGTGGATGTTTGGATCAAGGTTGATGGTGTTCATGGGGAGAAGGACGCGGGGCGGAAGCGAAAGGTGACAGTATGTCATGGCCAAATGTGAACTCAATATCAATTATCGAGAATTTTGCAATAGGGGCTGAGAAGCTTTTTGCAAAAGAATCAGCCTCAAGGGAAGGATGGATATACGAAGGGATTGGCAAGTTGTTTGCTTGGAATACTACAACTGAAGAGAGCTTGACCTCTCTAGTGCCAACAAGAAACAGAACTAAGAGGTTTGATCAAGGTTTCCTGCACTCAACATGACCCTTACCCACTAGTGGACTTAGCTTTTGTGTGGCCGGCAGATCTGCAGGCGTCCCGAAGTCGATGGGGTATGCGGACAGCGGGTTGCAACCTAGAGTCCGGGGACATGCAACCTGGCAGGGCTTTGGTCTTGTCCCACCCGGAATGTGGGAGAAGCCGTACCTCACGATGCTCTAGAAAGACGAAGCCTATGCGAATCTGATCTAGTCACGTCACTCGATGCATTAGACACGTTATTGGTTGATCTTGTACACCTGTGCTGGTATCCTCTAGCTTCGAACCCAGAAAGAACATCTCTATATCTCAACACTCCGCAAGCAAGCCCTTGACAGTGACATCCGGTTGCGGCTAGATGCAAATCACACGGTTTCGTTAGCCACCTCGAGAGCTTTATCAGCGACGGTGCTTTGCGCTCTTCCCGTGTCATACTCCTTATCTTCATATGGCTTAGCTCCCATGTTCGTCCAAGCACGCTCGATCATCAGCGTAACCTCCTTCTCCTTTCCACGGAAGAGCAGCTCTGTGTCCCCAATGCCAAAAGCCGTGATAGATTTATGCTGTGAAGCATTTAGACGTGTAGATTTATAGGCTGTGGAAAAGTGTTCGGGATGAAAACTTACAAGACCAAGCGTGAGCTTAATGACTCCGTCAGCCCAGTAGTGCTCGTAAATGTTGGAAGGCTTCTTCGACTGAAGAGCGAGAACGAGGTTGTCCGCGGCGTAGATGGCCTGCTTCATAGCGGCTCGGGCATTGGGGTTGGTGACGCCGGCCTCAGCGACATCGCCACAAACGTAAATGTGCGGTAGCGAGTCGACATCGATTTGCATTGTTGGCTTGACCTTGATCCGGCCTGACTTTGCGATCGCCTCGGGAACGAAATCGCTGATGAGCTGGGAAGAAGGTTGCTGACCGGTAGCGTTCACCTAGAAGTCCGAGACTTATCAAAAGGCTTATCCACAGATTGGAAGTTAGGAATTCGGCTCACCATAAAATCACATGCGACTTTTCGCCCAGAGCGAAGTGTGACGAAACCATCCACTGGTGTTTCGGATGTTGTCCGCTCCCCGAGTATGACTTCGATTCCAAGATCTTTCAAGCCCGCGAGAGCTCCAGCCTGCAAGTCATGACCGAAGCGGTTCATGACTGCATCTCTTGAGTGAATCAATGTGACATTCTTATCCGGGTACTGGTCTTTAGCGTCTGTAGCAAGCTCGACGCCTGCAGCACCTCCGCCGACAACAACAAGATTCTTGGCTGCTTTGATGCGTTGCTGGAAGTTTCGCAGCAGCTGAATTCCTTCGGCTTTATCTGTTGAACCCACTCTTGACGGTAAAGACATGCCCACGCCCGACCCAGTCGCGATGACCATGTACGAGTATGGAATCTTCTCTCCTGTGCCTTGGATCGTCACCGTGTTTTCGGTGATTGTGGAGACGCGATCATGAACCCATCGTACAATCTTCTCCGAGCCCGCTGGCAAATAGGGGCCATAAGGGATGAATGTCTTGTGCTCATGTCCCTCGACGACGCAGAAGCGAGGCAACGTCCACGTGAATTGCCAATGCTGGTTCGGTTCGACGATGATGAGTCGGTACGGACCGTCTGTGGGAAGGGAGGTTGCGATTACCCTGGCGGCATGATACCCGGCAAAAGAAGCGCCGATGACTATAATGTTGATCGTCTCGCCGTCTTTCGAGGCGGGACCGGCGGGGAGTTTCTTGGTGGTGTAAGATCGAGAGAAAAAGTCGGCATAAAGCCGTAGCGAGTATCCTACAAGCCTCACAAAGAGGACGACCTTCCTAATCGTGTCCATCGTTGGGTCACGGCCAATGACCGGAGTCCGCGGGCTTGTTGGTGGGAAATAGTCAAGGGAGGTGTGGCACAATGATCATTGACAGGATCCGATTAAGCGGATGGTCTCAATACTTATCAGATGCATCTGATTAGATCAAACCGGGAACCGGTGTCGTTAATTAGCGTGCTGTCATTCGGCGGACGGATCGGCCGTGAAATGACCGATGTCGCATCGGCCGACGCTATCCCCGGAGCTGGTCAGATTCAGTTGTTGGTTGACACGCAGGCGGATTTAGAAGAGGCAGCTCCTCGGGCTTTTCGTATTGACCTCGGCCTTGACCTGATCTGAAAAATGTGCAGTGCCGCTGAGCATGAGATAATCAGGTGTTACGGATACTCTGCAATGACTTCCATCATTCCCCAGGAGTTGGGGCGCTAAGACATCGTGCCACACTTTTGGGACAGTTATGTTATGAGCGTTTATTGCGTACAAACGTCTCCGCCGGAGGAGAAACCCTCGCCAATTTTTCTTCTGAGCGCTAGCGGAAAAGACTGCAGCGTCTTCACCATACTCGGTACGAAGATCCAAAGGCTGCTTAAGCAGCTTCGTGGACCCGTACGGCCAACAGCAACGAGATCTTGCCGACGCCTGTGCCCCTGTCCCGGAACAAGGAGCCTAATTTCCACTCCGAGAACCGAACCGGGGCCATCCAAGCAACGAGTCATGGTTCTTCGTGATAGACCTCGCGTGCAAAAGACCCTTTGTAAGGGGGGGAGGGTAACATTAACAGACAAAATAAGCATTAGAGAAGTCGATTGCATTAACCAAATAGGGGAATTTTCAAACATGCTAGAACGCCGATATCAAAAGCAAGGTCCCTCTTCTCTTAAACATGTACCTCCTGAACCTGCACCTCCACAGCCATGGTACCATTGCTAGCCTTCTTGTCGACACCAATCACATCAACCACGGGAGCGGCTGGGACACTCTTGACCTCGTTGAAGGCAGGGTATCCGGCAGCACGCCACTCCTTGAAAGTCATGCCTCCTGCACATGCAGGCATCTTGACCATGAGGGGAACGACTGTGTCTTCCGGCTGTCCCATGAGCTCCGCGCTGTGAACAATCTTTTCATCCAGAGTCTCGTAGCCCATCTTCTCGTAGAGCTTGTATGTGGAGGGAGATGACTCAAAGTACAGAGGGAGACCTAGGCTGTCGCTGAGTTCCGCTCCCCACTTACACCAGAGGGCACCAGCCTTTCTGCCCTGGTGCTTGGGATCGACGGCAATGACATGGGAGTCTGAAAGGAGCAGGTCGAGTCAGTTTCTCTGCCAGGGGACGTCTGTTCGTTTAGGTTTCGTCGACTTACAGATGTAGCGGCGCCCACCAAACAGCTTCTCTCTAGCCTCGTGCAGGGGATTGAGAACAGCCTCGGCTCGCTCTCTGTCCTTGCCTTCAAGCCAGCCAACACCGTGGTTCTTGCGCTCCTCTTCGGTACGCTCTTTGAGATAGATGTCGCCAAGAGCCATGCCCACGATCTCGCCAGTCTCAGTGTCGACGCACTTGTAGGTGTACTGGCAGTCGCTGTGATGCCACCAGGCCAATGTGCCAGCGGTGTGTGCCTTGCGGAATTCTTCAGAGTCTACGCCGTTGGGGAAGAGAACTTTGACCATGATCTCTCCCATCTCATCACCAGTGAAGGCGCTGAAATATGAATCGTAGACCTTCTGGATGTCAGGAATCAGCGCTGGCAGAATTGCGTAACCCATGTTGGCTGCTGTTTGAAGCAAATCTAGTTGAACAACGTTCGCAGAGTATGTATATTGAATACGTCGATGGGGATGACGGAAGATGGCAAAGAACGATGATTTGTGTTATTTTGTAGAGTGATGGCTCTGACCGAGGACTGAATCTGGACTTATATATGTCTCTTTGTCTCTCCATGTACGGAGTAGTCCCTCTATCTATCATCTACCCAAAATCAAACCCGTTCAGCCACTCCGATGGAGTACGATAGAACTTCGAAGTCGAACCCCTGCCCTACTCGTGCGGAATCTCCTCCCGACCAACCTACCAAAGGAGGCAAAAATGGTCTGGTCTCGCCCAGACCAAAGAAGCCTCCGGCTCAACCAACCTACGGAGAAGTTTCTGCGATGCGGAGCTTCAAGTCTTCGGCCTGGACCAGGTTGGTACGGGAACTTCAAAGGGATATGCCAGTGGGCCAGTCAAGTTCCCAACTCAGCGAGCACTTCGGCGCGATTCCACCTCGTCCAAGGCCCAGGCTCGTTTAGAGTTATCAGATCCGCCATCCTAGCAGCAAAAGTCTGCTCGCGCTCTCGTGTTAGTCCCCCGCTCTGCTACCCCCTAGACCCCTGAGGATTTTCAGCCAAGTGTTGATGGCTGCAACCTTTTTTACGGACTGTTAGGCTCAGTGACTCGATTCCGCCCACCCACCCAAGTGGGCGGGACAGCTATGAACTCATGCAGACCCGATGAATGAACTAGCAAAGGTCCATTGATCCATGACCAACGTGTCTGTGGAACAGTTCCCCGCCGTGTTGTTGCCAAGCTTTCGACATATAGCTACGACCAACAGCTGGGTTTAGCGAGTGTAGTCTAGGGTACCTCACGACTTGCCTGGTGCATATTGGCATTCACATCATAAACCCGAAAATGATTGGTTGCAAGGCAACAAGACTATAGTGTAGTCTAAAACTTCCCAAGAGGAACACGAAGAGCCTTCAACGGTCTCCAAGTACCTCATAAATGAGAAGTATCACGAATTGCCTCGCTTAGAATTGGTGGCGCAAACGCCACAAATCAAAGTCAAAGTTCCTCGCCGAATTATTCTCTTGCACATGATGCCAAGTCAAGTTATCAGATCCGCTCTGCTACCCCACCACCCTCGTTATCTGATCCATCCGTCCAATCCGGCTTTCGGCATCGTGGAATCCAGGCAAGGTCCTTTACCGGAGGATCTTCTCAGCGTAGACTAGTGGCAACGCTAGACAAGGGAAGTTTTCAGCCCTGGGGTTGTATTTGTCTAACCGAGGGCTAGACATGGGGGGGTCGCAACTTGCAAGAGTCCCTTTGCATCGTGGGAAATGACTTGGCGCCTTCTTTCTTCGGAACAGACCGAGTTACTTCGCATGTGGTAATGGGTTCGTCTCAAGTCGGATCAAGAATGAGAGCACGTTCAAGGGGCACCCCTGATGGGCATGGTCTGACTTTTCGCCTAGTCTGGTAAAACCTGCCTTTTGACGAGAATCGACCACTCACATTACTAAAGGAGTTTGTAAATTATTACTCACGAAAGTCTTCGCCCCACCACGTGGCTCTTTCTCAAGCCCAACTTGCTTCCGTAGGGCGTAGCTGATGGACGAGAATAATGGCCTGGAGCCAAGCTGCAGAAGAGAAACGCATACTGGGTTGCGTCCAGCTTGATGCGCACGCTGCGCGCGATCAGCTATCCTGACATTGACATCTTTGACCCATCAGAGCCCCCCTCCCATGGGGGTCCATTTCGAGGATAGAGGATGGAGCAGAACCTTGGTGCAGGGGCACTCATCGGTTAGTTCTGAGTCTCGGCATTGCGGGTGCCCCGCGGCGCGGCTAGAACCAACCTCGCTGTTGGCGAATCCATAGTCACATGTCCCCCTGAAGAGGTGGTCTTATCGACATGAAGCGCGAAGAGGGCGGGATAGTTTTCCGAGGCTGCTTTCAAGGGGCTGCAGGAAGAGGATCTTTGCTGCACCTACATGACTGCATACCCTGCAAATTTTCGGTGAAACCGCCCTCCTGGGCGAACAGGAGGCCTAAAGCGAGCATTTGCTTTTGGAGCTGCCAGTCTGTAATACTCATTGCTGTCTTGAAAAGGCTATTGTGAACTAGCTTTTGCTGGCACATGTACCTCTCAAATACTCAATAACACTTACTTAAGAGCAACCAGACTATGAATCAATACATGTAATTTGGACTTTAGTCACGTAGATTTTGTTGCATAAGGCCCTGTCGATTAGCTGACTTGATTGCCACGTTTGCCCATAGACACAACCCAACCCACTCTCAATTTGCGTATTCTGTGAATTAGTGACACGCCTACTTGGTTCAGTGCCTCGCCAAGGGTCCAAGACCGAGAATCAGAAGCATTTGGTAATGAACTATCTTGACCACACCAAAACTAGTTGTTCTTGGCTAGGATACGTACTTCAAAAGGCTCGTTCCCGTCCAACGTCCTCCGAAGACCGGCTGCAAATGATCAAACAGTGCCAGTGTATCTTCCTTGACTCCGGAGATGTCATCATAAACAAGTAGCTTTGATAACACGTCCTTCCCTTCTTGGGCTAGCTTTTCTGCATCTTTTGATATTTCGCCACCATCCCGTGCTTTCAATATTTGGGATAGAAGGAACTTGGCTCTCGCGGTCACAGCATCTGACCAGACACTTTTCCCGGGCTTACCTTCAGCTTTCTGCAGAGCGTTATTGATCTGCCATCTGGTGCTTTGTTAGTCAGAACGAATCTAAAAGTAGAATGAATCGACTTACTCGGCGTCATCCCATCTTTCTAGATAGGAGTACAATGCACCCACAGCATACTGACTTTGTAGAGTGAAGTAGCTGTCTTTCCCTTGGAGTCTGATCCTCTCGGCAAGGATGGTCTCATTCTGGTCTAGAGAACCCTGCAAATCGACACTCTGCAGCACAATGCAGGCAGAGTCGAACTGCAATCGCAGAACAAGGAGCTTGTCGCCAAATACTTGCATGAGTCGAATAGCCTTCTCGGCAAGCTGGATGGCTTCCTCGAAATCGTGCCGATACATGCCACAATAAGACATGTGATGGGCAAGCTTTGCAAAGGAAAAGGGATCCGATTCTTCAGAGGTGATGATAAGCAACCGTTCATGACAGCCTGTGTAGATTGACTCAGCGGCTTTGAAGGAAGCTTCCAACTGCTTTGCACGATTTTGGTAGAGGTTTTGACCGCTCACTGATTTCCTTACGGCGGGAAATTCCAAGATATTGGCTCTTACCTCGCCAGAGGCGACTTGATATTGCTCATGGTTTAGCATTGTGTTTCGGAGACTTTGAACCTTTCGTAGCGCGAACCATCCTTGCGAAAAGCTTGAAGAAGAAAGTCATACCAAAGCCTGCCGAGATCTGGCGCTTCCTTCGTGAACCGCTGCTTGTACGGCTCGGTTTTGCATTAATCGAGTTGGCACCGGGTATGACACTTTCTAGATTAAGACAGCTGCCTAAATATGATAGTACAGATGCTGAAAGTATGGGAGAGAACAGTCAAGATGCGAAGGATTATGACACTGCTATGGCTATATTGGAGCGAAAGATATTGCAGGAGGAGGTCAGCCTGGCTTACCAGGCAGTCGTAGAAGCATGCGTGAAGTGCGAGGTGATCCGGGAAGCGGGCGCGATTTCTCTTACAAGGGCTGCGAGTTCGTTCGAGGAAGATGTAGACCAAGAGATTCTACTGCCGCTTGCTAAATGTCTCGACACCAACTGGGTGAGTACAAGGTTGGAATGAGACTATGTTTCATGGAGGAAGGTACTGAGTTCCCAAGGCCACCACTTTTTGGCCGAGATTGGAGCAAATCGCAATTGAGCACAAGCATGTATATTTAGAAGTGGCTTTCTCTGAAAACTCTACTAAGACATCTTGTTATCACGGTGTTCTTCCTCGTCAGCTTTGATCGAAGATTGAAGTATGATGAGATATTTGCTGCGAAGCCAATGGGTGAAGCTATTAATTAGCGGTCGAAGGTATTACCAAGTAAGATCCTAGCATTCTTGCCGTCACTATTCCAAAACATAATCTAGGGTTAGTTCTAGGGGCAAAATAACTGTCCATGACTCTGCAGTCTGCCGCCAGAGTGAAAAAGATCAACAAGTTTGGTAACGCCGCTACCTTGACCAAAATGTCACCACATCCTCAAAATGCGATTCTCGTAATGCCCCCGGTAATATTCGAGTTGACGGCACAAGTTGTCTATACATCAGATGAGCCTTCTCCAGTAACTCTATGTCTTCCTCATGCGATGTGTCCTCATTTTGATCGTCAAGGAGCTTCATCTTGTAGAGGAGTTTTGCTTTCATGAAGGTGGTCCGCGCGATCTCTGGCACATGTGCGCCTTCATTGGCGTCGTAGGTAATAAGGGCTTGATCAACCAAGGTCCTAGTTATTTCGTATTTGAATTAGCTTCTATAAGCGTAGGCGTCACACGTCTCTTACATGGCAATGTTGAGTGAAAATTTATCACCCCGACGAAGAGAATGTTGTGCTAGCTTGTAGCACATGTCGGCCGTTCGATGGTATTTGCTGCCAACAGCTCCCTGATATGTCTTGAGGGCATCCTTGTGGAATTGCTCGCTTTCTTCCACACGGCCTTGACTGAGTCTGACGTTTCCAAGTGCGTGAAGTACTCTTCCTGGCCTGCATTAATCTGTTAGGGGGCCTTTGAAAAAATCGAGAGTTAAGTGGGATTACCTGAAAGAAACCATGCTCAATTTCCCAAGGCCTTCTTCGCTTTCTTTCTGTCCTTCCTCGAGGACCTCAGCAGCTTCGTCTATCCTCCCCTGAAGCCAAAGACTCATACCCAAGTTGGCGTATTCCATTAGAGCTAGGCCTTTTTTATAGCCTGGCACCCTATGCCAGATGTCCAATGCTTGCCGGAACATCTGACCACCTTCTTCAAACTTCTTGAACATCATCAAAGAACACCCCATCTGATTGAAGGCGTAACCTAGTTGAAAGTCTTCCTTGCCCGTTTTGCTGGAGATCTCCTTTCGGATTACCAACTGCTTGGAATTGAACTTCTCTGATTCTTCAGGGCGATTAGTCCCATTCGCAACGCATCCCATGACGTCGTACACAAGAGCAGATAGATCGAGCCATCTTTCTACACCCTCGTACTTGTCACACAACAGAAGTATCTTTGCAGCTGTTTCACGCGCTCTGAGGAAGTTTCCACGTTCGTATAACCACCTAAATTTGTATTCGTGAGCTCATGAACACCAAAGACCTAAGAAAAGAAACAGATAGGACTAGAGCTTTTCCAACTCCATGGAAGACATACCAGGCTGCTTCTTGAAGAATGGTGCCAAGGTCAAACTCGGTGCCTTCAAAAGACTCAACTCGAGGCATGAGAAGAGACTTCTCTGTTTCGTACATGTAATGCAAAGACTTGACATGATCACTGAGCACTTCCCGTGATACTGGCCCCTGTCTCCTCGCATGTCTTTGCTCAAATGGCAACATCGGCCATGTGCTGCGGATAAGTTTTACCGCGATGGAGAAAACCTTAGCTAATTGCTCCGGATTCTTGGATAAATTGGCTCTGATAACCTGTTGAGGTACTCGATGCATCGATAGGTGTGTCGCGGTGCCATCGTCGTTCTCTCGGATGATTGACGCCTGGAGGAGCGTGGCTCTTGCCTTGAAGTAGTCGTTGCGATTTATTGGTGAGTGAGCTCCAAAAAGATCATCCGAGGATAGGTGATCGAAGATGGACTCTTCAACGTGGTCAGGGTGGAAGCAAGAAATGATAGCAGCAAGAAGTTGTGGCTCGGCACCCAAACCATCCATCGTGAACAATGATGATAGATTGCCGCGAGAATTCTTGTTGATTTGAGCCTCAAAAAGATTTCCACGATCAGTATGATCGTCCAATCGCTGTTTCAGAACAGAGAATGAAAGAAACTGTTGTTTCGCGATGCCCGCCATTTGAGCTAGGGCAAGGGGGAGCCCATCCAGTTGACGGTGTAGCTGGCGTCCATCGTCGTGATCCTTGAGGGACCTGATCAGGCCTTTGGACGCCTTTTTCAAGAACTCTAGGGATTCTTCCTCGGAGAAAGGAGGCAGCGGTATAGGAACAACATTGCCAAGAAGATCACATGCCAGAGGGTTTCTGGACGTTACGAGGATCGACCCTGGCCCGTCTACATCGATGTAATCGTCCAGAATCTGAGGGTCATCTGCGTTGTCGAATACCAAGAGCCACTTGGGGGACACGGCTTGATCATGTTTACCGCCGATTGTCCAAGTTGGTTTAGCGAGCCATGAGTGGATAAGTTCTTTGGCAGATGTGGGGTTGCTGGGTTCGTTCTCCGGAACAAGGCGAATTCGAGTGGCTATCTTGCAAAAGTCCAGTTCCAGCTTCTCAGCACTTTCAGCACAAATCCAGAAGATGGCATCGAATTTTTGCTTGCGGGTGAACACATATTGCGACGCAAGCTGAGTCTTCCCAAGGCCGGCTACACCGAACACTGCTGCTATCGTTGGAATTTGGCCTTGTGTTGCTGGTGAGTTGCTCCTTATGCTGGCTGGTAACAATGCGGCATCAATCTTGTCCATGACGTCTAAGCGACCTAAGAAGTCTCTATTCAGAGACAATTGTTCCATCATATGGCAAGGAAGCGCAAGTTCCACGGAAGACCTAGAGAACCCACGGAAAATTGACTCCATACTCGATGGATCCGGTGTCGGAAGTGATACCTGGGTCGTAGTGTCGCCATCTAGAGATGTTGCGCCAAAGGCTATGATCTGTAAGCCAGAGCACAGACAGAATATAATGGGTCAAGTAGTCACCTTGCTGCAGGGCATATACAGAGGGTTTCTGCTCCGTTCCAATGCTACTCCTTGGGCTTTGGATTAGAACACTGGATGAAAACTGTACTATTGAGTTGTCAGTAAGTAAGTTACCATGGTGAAAAGACATTTCTAGCCAGCCATACATCCCGTAGGATTTTCGTGAGCCCGAACGACTGTCTTGATCCTTTGCCGCAGCCATGCCCGGACTTCCCAATTCGGGGTTCCGCACTCAAGAAGATAACAAGCCTGAAAATGATCTGCATCTATGCCGACTAGCTTTTCAACGGTAGCGTCCGTTCTGGCCAGCTGTGAGTTGACAATCTTTTAGATGGTTAGTGAGAGAGCCACCAATACAAAAGTCTTCAGGGCTTTACAGTCTGTTGTTTGTTGTGAATGAAGGATTTCTTGATGGTGGGTCGACCTTCGTAGATACTGAGGATAGGGAAGCTGAATTGGCAGCTGGTGAACATATTGTTGACGTGCAAGATTTTCTCTTCCCAATTCCTCATCTCTAAAAACTTCTTGATCGACCTGCCCTGGAGACATTGTCGAAGAAGGTAAGAGCAATTATCTTTGAGTGTCTCACGATGACTCGGATCAACACCATGGGGGCAACCCACGAAGACAATACCGGCCACAAGACCAATTGTGTTCGGTCCACTGCTTTCAACTCTATGACTTAGTCGAGATAAAGCCTGTTGGGTTGCTTTTTATTAGTGAGTTCCCAAGCAATCATGAACTAGGAAGAAACCAGAAGGGCTGACATGTTTCAACGCAATACCACCTAAGCTATGCGTCACGAAGATGATGGGTACCTGTGCGAAATGTGAAATCTTAGCAAAAGACACCAAAAGTATCGTTCGAAGAATTGATACCCACAGGGCTTTCTTTTGCCAGCTTGTCCAGGACTCTGCTCAGTTCGTTTCCAGTGTCTATTAGTTGTTGAACGCTGAATCTGGTCTCATCGCTGACAGTCGGATAATGCCCCGAGACATCAATGTGGTTGCCATCGATTGACAGCTCCTCGCTCCAGACACCTTTGAGAAATCCCCAGTCCTCCACCGGGGGCGACGTTCCCACGCCAGGAACCAGGATGATTCTTCATCACGTTAGTGTGAAAGGTGTGAGACACATGAGAGTTGAGGCCTACCGGAGCTTCGCGTCTGGCTTGGCCACTGTTCCGGCTTTGGGAACCACAGAAATCGCCATCAGAGGACCCTGTTTTCATTCACG